AAGTAGTGTTAGTCTTATTCCACTGTGATGTATTTTGCCTCAGAACTTCTCACTCGTTTCACCTCAACAAAACTGATCTGTCGCACACGATTTTCGAAGTGTAACGAATCAATTCACGGAAACCTAATTTGAAACGAAAAATTTGCTCTTCTTCTTCTTGTTCGCATTTCAAGCTTATTGCGTGCTCTCAACTTAGTGCACTTCCACAGTTATTAATTGAGAGCTTTCGATTGCCAATACCAATGCATGAATTTGTATATTGTGTGGCAAGCACAATGATACTCTATGCCCAGGGAAGTCGAGAAAATTTCCAACCCGAAAGATTCCCTCGACCGGACCGGGAATCGAACCCGCCGCCTCCGGCTTTTGTAATACCGTGCCTTTACTGACTAGGCCATGAGGCCCCTAAATTTGCGCAGAAGTAGCAAATATCATTGCTGGTCTATTAAATCTAAAAAACTTTCTGAATGACTGCTTAACAATACAATGACTGCCTAACAATTATATCATCAAATTTGACAAATGAAAGCCGATGCAGTCAATGCAGTCACCCGCGATTTCTACGGTCGCTACACGGATGCTACACTGTGCTATGCTTTTAGTGTAATAAGGATTTTATTGGTATGAGGTGTCTAATTGATTGCATAACGCACAAAAATGCTGATATTCTCGGTAAAATATGAAGCATGCACAATCTAGGGTCGAAAATTAAGTAGTTATTCCTTTGGACGTTATTCATTTGAATAGCTTCAAGTCGCCGGGCTTGAACGATCGACGGTCAACAAGGTATTTTGTGATGTTAGGAGCCCGGTGGCCTAATGGCAACCTTTTTGCTTACGGAGCAGAAAGTATTGGAATCAATCTTAGACCTTATCACGGTGTTTCTATTATTTGGTTGAGAAAATCGCTACTGATAAGACTGTATTTTAGGATGTCATACTGATGTACGGATGTACGCTCGATCTAATCTAAAAAAGAACATCATTGGCCGCTTACGTGGACGTCCTTTTATTAGAAATAGCTCCATGTTTCCGGACTTGAACACGCTTCGGTCGCAGTGGTTTGTTGTGATGCAAGAGGCTCGGTGGCCATAGCGCGGCCATTTTTGCGTACAGAGTAGAAAACCATGGGTTCTATGCCACGCCCTTTTACATTCCTTAGGTGATATGGTTGTTTACCATGCATTAGAAGAACGCATTACTTTCCAAAGTGAATCCATATCTAATTCACCCTTCCTTCTAATAAAAATTTCTGATTCAGATGTGTATTCCCAACAGCGACAAAACATACTGTGGGGTGACCCTTAACGTTTGATCGATGACTCGTATTGATTTGAAGCATATTAATTTAAAAAAAAAACTTTCACAAATGTATCTCGATGGGTATAGAAAAAGAGTTCAACTACCCCTTTCATTTCAAAATTTGGCCGACTCAATTCTGAGAAAATTAATCTTGAATAATCTCTGTGAATTTTGGAAAATGTTATAACTTAAGGAGAAGTTTTAGTATACAAAAATTGTAAACTTTATTAAATTAGTTACCTACGAACTAAATTTCACTCAATACCTTTCAAATGACCTATACAAATCGAAGATCGGTCATAAAATGACAGAGATATGAGCAAAAAACATTTACATGTTTTTTCGAAAGATGGGAGTGTATGTGCAATGTTGGTGGTTCTTGTCATCTAAGATCAGGCTCACGGAAGCTCAAATTTGAAAAATGAAAGGAATCGGTGATGTAACAGCCTCCCAGCATCTTTCTTTCATAGGTCGAAAAATCATCCGATTTGTAACATGATTTTGAAACCACACATGTGGAAAATTGGGTTGCAAAAGTAATCAGCTGAAAACGCCCAGATACACACTTCAAGTGAGTTGATACAACTCACCCCCGACCTCATAGTCGGCGTTCAATAACCTTGACATTGAATGGAGCAAGTCCGAGTGACTATAATGCTGAATTGAATCATCTAAATCGGGCTTAGCTTAAATTTCCATCGGGAAAAGAATAGCTCAAAGCGTGTAGAATCGATGCCATGCCATAATAGTCAAGTTCAGTTTTGATGACCTTAGATACTGGAATGATTTTGTTTTGCCGTCGTGAGATGCGCGTCAGAACAAAAAGTTGAAGCTGATTAACGGCTGATTAAGCAGAAATTGCAGAAGAAGCTTATTTTTGCCCGCATCAGCTCTTATTCTGCTTGCGATGTTTGTTGGGGTACGCTGAATAGATAGAAAGAAGATTGGTGATGATTTACTCCAAAAGTATGGAAGTGCGATGCGAGTAGGGGGATTTAGGTGCAAAAATCGGTTTCAAACCTTTTTCGGTATTTACTATTTACTATTTTAATTAATTTCATATCTTGGCCGTTTTCGAAGTCGGAAGAAATTCCCGGGGAATGTTTGAACTAGCTTCTGAAGGAAGCTGAAAAAACTTCATAGATAGAAGAAAGAAGCTCTTCTGCAGGAAGTTTGAAGAAAGTTCTATGGAAAGTCGGAACAAACATCCGGGGAACTTCCAAGAAAAATATTGAGAAACGTCTGGAGAAAATTTAAATAAACTTTCGTAACATATCAAGAACAAGTCAGAAAGGTTCCGGAAATCGGCAGAAAATTCCAGGAGTGTCCATTTGCAGGGGAACCTAGACGAAGCTCGGAAAACCTTCCAATAGATGTCGGAAAAAACCTCCAGAAGAGTTCGCTTATGGAGAAACTTCCAGAGGAAGACGAAAGAAATTTCTGGGAGAATTCGATAGAATCTTCCAGTAGAAGTTCAAAGGAACTTCCTGGAGACACTAGAAGAAACTTCTGGAGAAAATCGGAACCTTCTACCTTCGGATTCCATACGACAGTCAATAGAAAATTCTACGACGTTGAGAAAAAAATTCCGGAAGACAGAACTTTCCGGTGGAAATCGGTAGACACTTCTAGGGAAAGTTAGGACAGTTGATACAAAACTGGCGGGGTGGACCATTAGAGCAAAGCCAGAAGAAGCTTCCGAGGGAAGTCGAAATAACTCTCCGGGCGGTATCGGAAAATAGCTTATGGGATAAGGTGGAAGAACATACCAAGGGAAAGTTGGAAGAACCTTCGAAGGGAAGATTAAATAAACTTTAGGAAGATAAAACATGATCATTTTGAATCATTTTGGACCTATTTAGTCACTGGATAAAAGTATTTCGAGATTCCTATGAATTACACCGGTTTTAGCTACCAAAAACGCGAGAAACAGCGGATTCTTGGGTAGCCAAAAACGGCGAGGAAATGGAAATACTATCCGAAGGAATATCAAGCGTAATAAATGTTCAAACATGAATAATTGTTTGAGCACATCAATTTAAGATAAAAGTCTTTCGGTATAGTTTTCTCTGACAGTTAAGCGAGGGCAGGAAATTATTGTTTTGATAGTAAAAATCGTTATAAGTCAGTATTCTGCGGAACCTCACCTGTACATCGGTATAAAGTTCGAAAATCGGCATAAATACCGATAAATCAGTATATCTGGCAACACTGGTGTCACTTCTAACTCACGACCATTACGTAAAATGCAGAAGCAAACTAATTTTCCATAGTTTACGTAATTTTATTTGCATTTTTAGCGTGACAACAAATCTAAGTTTAGGAAGTTCAGCCTAGGCCTTATTATTCACTAGTAGTTGTAAAGATTACGGTTGACTACACAACGACTAGTGAGAAGTTTATAATCAGATAAAATCGTCGCTTGCTTCCTCGGTGCTGTCAAATTCTAGTAATATAAACATAAACACCACAGGAATGATCAGTTGCTGTCGATTGCAGTTCAGAGAGTAGGTTTGCAAGTGGAAATTTGACAAAAGTAGACTTCAAAATCGCTCCGATCGCAATTAGATAAACGGCAACGTAAAATCTTCAGGAGCTGTTTCGAGTAAAATTTTACTTGACAAGAAATTTAGGTGGAATCTTTCCGTAGAATGCTCTATCGCCCTACGTGAAATGAATCATTTGTTTGAGAAACCCCATAAGTCCATTCCTCAGAAAATTAATGTTTTGGATCCTAGTTTGAAACGGTTTGCGCAATTAAACTTTTTGATATTTCTAGGACAGGTGTATTAATCTAAGCGGATCCAAAAACTGCAAACAAGTCGTTTTCGATAAAAATGTGACTTATGCGGTTTCTCCAACAAATGATTCAAATGAATTGCCACTCATTAGACATTGGACAGTTCAAAACTTAAATGTATAATCCAAACACCCAAACAAACAATCTAGCTGGTTATAAGCTGAATAAGCCTGTCTTTGCCTGAATAAGCTGTTCAGCTGTACAGCCTTCGTTTCTGTAGTCGCTTGCCTCCCGACCAGCGATGCCACTTTGCCAGATTTTTGTACACGAAAACAGTTGGGACCCTCCTGTTTATTTTGATACTGTAAGGCGGTTCTGTAACTAGTTTGTTGGCTCAAAACATAGTGAAACTTTCGGAACTATTTACAAAACATGTTACAAAAGTTTACGGTATCAAAACAAACAATGTGGCATCGCTGCTACCAACTATGCTTGAGAATTGAACGAAAAGAAAGGAGTGGCTAGTTTTCCACGATAAATCAATAATGTTACATAATTGCGAGATGCCTTGGAAACACAAAAAAAAAAGTTCATCATGGATCATGGTTTGGATTTCCCAATCCGCTCCAGTGAATCCATCGTCCAGCTGTCAAAGTCAGTGGTTTTCAAAACACGCCTTCCCCTTAATGAACAAGAACTCTGCCAGTTCCACCCCTCCCACCTCAGTGCTGCATCGCTCAAGACAAAAAGTAGTGCAGTTACATAATGGACAATCCCCCTCTCCGCACTCCTCCGAAGCAAGACGAGAGCTTTTTCTTCCAGCCCCCGTCAAGGTTTTCCGACTTTTCCTCCAGTCCAAGACGGACGGACGGAATTGCAAACTGAATCGAATCGTTATTTTTTTTTTTTTTTTCGTTTGAGGGGGGTTTCAAGCATTCCGGTTATGCGGTTTTACCTACCTCGGAGGACATGGCTTGTGGTGTGTTTCTATGCGTGGACCGTTGAAAGACCCTAAGGTCTCAAAATCTGCCACTTTCTAGAATCAGGGAAAGACACACACACACACGCACACGTTAGGGTTGCGCAACTGTTTTTCCTGCCTTCTGCTGCTGATTCCGAGGATTCAACCCTCCTTGTTGCGGGGGTCACTCACGAGCAGCTTGTGCTCTCTACCTATACGATTGGTTTATGATGGGATAAGTGTGTGCGTGTTTTTTTTTTTTCTTCTATGCTACAGACGGGTGGAATACTCAGTTTACTTTTCCGTTGGGAGGAAAAACAAGGAAAAAGCGACACCATGCTCTTTGGCGGGTATCCTCGAGGAAAAAAAATAGGGGGAGAATGAGATCTCCTCTTTTTTTGTTCTCTTCGAGTGAGTGGTTTTCTAGTTTGTGGAGAGAAATTCCTTCCGAAAGGGGTTGGAAAGGAAGTCCGCCGCTCTTTGGCTGTCGTCCGTCCGCCCGTCCGTATGGGACGGACACAGGGACGCGGGGGTCTCTTTTTCCGAGTTTTCCTCAACCAACGGCAGCGTAGAGTGCCATGCAGCAAAAAAAAAGCGAAAACTTTTATTATTAAATACCCTAAAAATAAATTTTCTACTTTGGCTTAATTCTCGACCGCTTGACACATCCATACGAACACACATGTAGGTGTGCTTAAGAAGGGGGCCACTGTCGATGGTCAGCGTTTCGATATACTTTTTTTTTGTTGCCCTGCTCGTTTGTCTTATGTACATTGAGCGAGCGAGAGAGAGAAAGAGAGATTCTCAGTTTTTATGAGAACATGATTTTTATGGTTAAAAATAATTTTCGCTACAGAGTTTTTCTCGAAATGAGGCGATTTTTAGAGGGTACAATTTTCATGGAACACGTACTTTTTCAACTCCTGCTTGACAACTTCAACTTCCTTGCGGGGTCCTGCTGCCTTTCTCTAGCAGAGTGAGGGCACTCTACTGGGTCTGGGCTCTGGGCGGACGGGGGGTGGTAGTGTTCGTTACTCCTTGGGTTTTCCGTTCACCAGCTTTCTTTGATTCTCCCTGTGCACTTTCGTCAAATCGATTTTCCTACAACACTCTTTTCTTTCCTTCTTCTCTACACGCGCTCTCTGCTTTTCTTTTCACACTGTCATTTTTCTTCGATCGATGGGGGGAAAATCTTACACTCTATTCAAGAGGCTCTGCAATTATACAAGAAATATTTTTTTCGATTGATTTGAAAATTCACTTGTTCACTGGGTGCATTCACGAGGAAAAAAAATATGAAATAGCACGGGGAATTCCAGCTGGAGCTACACAATCTTCAAACTTTGAGGGAACTTTCTTCGGGGCACACAAGTCCGCCTGAGGGTTCGTCCGTAGTAAGGGAAGAAAATTCCCTTTTTCACACACAAGTGAAAAAGTCGAAGATCGGTTTTACACTGCTCTTATTTCAGCTTTTTTCTTTCTTTCAACCCTAGCTTACTATTCCCGACTTCTTGGAAATCACGGACCGTGTACTCGCACCGGAGAGCATGCGGAGAAAAGTGACCGTTCGTTGATGGACAGCGATAGTCTCTAGGTCCTCCAAATCTGCTGCGGTATCTCACGAGTTCTCGTTTCACTCCTTCTCTTTCTGTCTTTTTTTCCCTCTCGCAACGTGCTCAAGGAACTCTCTGCACTCTCGCAGCACACCACGCTTGATGATAGATTTCGCGCAGCGGTGGTCACTCAGAACCAGAACCCGGAGTCCTTCGCTTTCCAGCGAGATTCGAATCCTGACCACTCCGCGAAATCTACCACCATCAGCACGGGGAACTCACTCTCGTGCCAAAAGCGCACCGAGTCCTTGAACAAACTGAGATACCACACCACATTTCCTTCAATATCCTTTGTGCGCACTCACTACACCACAAAACCAGGCAAAAATCCAATTCTTTTCCAACGAATTTGCAGTCCATTCCAGCGCACTATCCACCGTAGAATTATAATTACAAAAAACACACAAGAATATTGCACACACTGTGACCGTACCGTTTCGGGGGTATAATAAGTAGAGTAGAGTAGAGCAGTACAACACCACCACACCACACTGAGGAGGCAAGAGGCTTATACGGAACACGACCTGCTTCGAACGTGTTCGGCGCTCAACTGAATGCTAACTCGCATCCACCGTATGGTTTTAGCTTCTACTTGGAGCGAAAGCTCAACCACTCGCTCTAGCTCTCCCTATCTCTCTCACTGTCTCTTCTTCTCATTCAACCGACGGACGACGACGGCGGCGGCGGCGGCGATGTCCTATGACGTCACACTGCGTCACGTAGTCGCGTGTTCAATGGTCGCTCTCTGGCCGCTCTCCGCGATTTCGCGATGGTTCTCTCCGCCTCGCGCTCCTGAACTGACTCTGGCTGGAGTCGGAGTCCTTGGTGAAGACAACTAAGACGACGACGACGACGACGGTGGAAACGGTGGCGTGGCGGCGTCCGTATGGCTGAAAAGCTTTTCATCCTCAACAGCAACGGCAGGGCAGTCAGGCTCGTATACACAGAAGGAGGATTGCATAATGATTTGCCCCGAAGATTCCACATCCTGCCAGCCATACAAATGGTACACCGCTCGCGTTCCTCCTTACAGTACCGGACTTACATAACGTCGGTTCCCTGTTGGTGGTGACTTTTGCTGCTTCGCAACACACCACTGGATTTGGATTTTTTTTTCCCCTTTCTTACGACCCGGTGGATGCGTGCCATGGCATGTGTCACCTCCTAATATCGAATGTCACCCGAAGCGTTAAAGTCCACGACACGGAAGGAAGGAAGGTAGGGATTGAAAATATCCTGCCTAGCTTATGACTTTTGTGTGGCCCTTTGTACTTGGCACAGCATAAGATTGTACGTGTGCATAATGAATGCGAAAAAAAAAAGAAGTGGAACATCGTGCACCGTCATCGCTCCGGAGGAGCCAGGTATTATAAGATTTGTGCGTGAAGGATCAGGGACTCCTGTTGGAATTCATGTGTGTTTTTTTTTTTTTTTTTATTTACCTGGACGATGGAAAATTCTGGACGTGGAAAGTTTGTGGAATAGAGGAACTGTTGTGGATCGAAGGAATCGCTGATTGATAATCCACTACACCCAAAAGTTACCATTTAGTGTGCTTGTGGCATTTCTCACATAACTGGAAATATGGAAAATCCAGGGCTGTTACCAGATTTTCAAACTTTGATCCGCGAAATTCGCGATTCCTCAAAAGAAATCCGCGACTTGAAATACTATCGTTTATCGCATGTTTGCTTTTTGTCTGCTCTCAACTTGTAGCGAATTTGTTTATTATCCAGGTTGGAACCGGTTCCAGCCCGTGCGAACCCGAGTGTATTGTCAGTGGGAACCTTAACCCGAGCCAGGTTACAAAAAAAACGTTAACACTGACGTTTGAAAGACAACAACTGAACTGGAACTGAATCAAAAACAAATTCGCTATTAGTGTTCTTTGAAACATTTTAATTGAGAGCTATGCCTGTACCGTCCCCTACAATGAGGCAAATAAACTAAAGAATTTCATAAGGCTCGACTTATGAACGACACATATGAATTTCATAAGCGTGACTTATGAATGATTTTCGTCTAACATGAGCTAGTTCTTATACGCCTATAACAGGGTGGCAAGTGAATTTCCATTTTGAAATTCCTGGTTTTCTCCTGGTTTTCCTGGTCAATGATTTAAAAATTTCCTGGTTTTAAAAACCATGTAGGGGAATTACGTATTCTCGGCAACCTAAGCAGCGACCTTCTTTCTATAGCCTTTTTCTCTAAGGAACGCACACATATGCAGTATTGGTTTGTTTACAATCTACTGCTGCCAGCTGCTCTAACAATTTCAGTCGAAAGAATTTTCAAAAACGGTTTTGAAACGCTTTTACAAAGCTCCAATCTTCTCTAGTGAGAGCGAGTATTGTCGGCAACCAGTTTTTCTTCGGCAACCGTTCCATTTGAACTGCATGTAAATCTGCTGTTCTATTATCGGCAACTCGAAATCAGCTACAATTTGTAGTGCGTGTGTTTCATTTCAAGAAAACCTTGCTAGATTGCTTTTTCTCAGTGGTAAAAATATAGTCAAATTGAAGCTGAAAGCATAAAGAATCGTTTGCATGCATTCAGCGAAGTGTTTTCGTAAGAAAATCCAGTGAAAATAGTGTTTCAATTTGGGTTGCCGAAAATAGTCTGTCATGCCGAAGCCGTCATTTTCCCTATTTAAAAACAATTTTTAATAAATAAAAATAAAGTGCATCCATCACTCTTCGCGCAATGCGGAATTTCACAAACCAAAATAGGTATTAAAGTTCTTGTGAATGCCCGTGAAATCTTTATCTGATTGTTTGCTGTAAAGATGCTATTAGGGAGCAGCGCTACTTCGTCGTATCATGGCGCCTATTTCCGTTCTATGAGCTAAAACTATAATAGCAAAGCGTTTTCACTTATGTCTTTGCTTACAAGATTAATTACGATTGACACTGAAACATTTGCGATAACCCGTAAAATGAGCGATTTTAGGGGTGTATGACGAAGAAAAGCTGAGATACGACGGACTAGCGCGGAGCCCTATCTAAAGTCTGAAATTTAGAGATCCATAAGCCCCTAAATCTTGAGATTTCTGTTTTTGAAACTGCAATTTTTTTAACTTTATTATTAAGATTTTTAGCCAACGGGCTCGTTTATCTCAAGGTGAAATTGCGAAGTGTGATATGAATGAGGACTCTTTAAACAAACCTTTTCTTCTAACAATTCTACGGATTTCCAGTTTGTTTAAAATTTATCGCAAATTGTCAACGATTAAGAATCTAATTTAGCGGAATTTTGATTACAACATGATTTCAAAATCATATGATTAAAAAATTTCATAATAATAATTGAATAGCTCTTATTATTAAAAAGACTGACGGCTAAGTTCATAGAAACTCCCTAAAGTTCGTAGAACTTCCCTGACGCGTTAAGGTCTTTCCTGAAGTGTTCATTGAAGTTTGTATTATCTGAATTTCATGGGACATCCCCGAAGTTCGAAGGACTTTTTTTTTAAGATCTTAGGACTTCCCTGAAGTTCTGAGTTTTTTGTAGTTCAATCGACTTCTCGGAAGTTCTAGGAACTTTTTTGAGCTTGGAGAACTATGTTAAGTTCAGAGGACTTCCCAAGAGTATTGAAGACTTTTCAGAAGCTCGGAAAAAAATCCATAAGTGTCATAGGATTATCCTTAAGTTTTAAGCAATGCCTAAATGTCGTAGAAGTTACATTAAATCTGTAGAAAATTCTGTAAAATTCGTAGTTATTCCCCAAAGATTAAAGGACTTCCCTGAAGTTCGTAAGACTTCTCTGAAATTTAAAACTTCTCTGAAGGTTCGGAGAGATTTCCTGACCGTCGTAGGTCATCACAGTAGTTCACAGGATTTTCCTGAAACTTTCCCGAATTTTGTAGAACTTGCATGAAGTTCGAAGGCCTTATCTGAAGTTTTTAGAAATAGAACTTTTTTATTGAACATGTTGAACAGGTACTTCAAAGTAGTTACGCGTCGGCACTGCTTAAGTCTGCTATCAATTAAGCACAAATCATAAATGCAATTGATTCGAGAAAAAAAATAAATCAAAAATAAATACAAAATATATTTACTAAATTATCAGGGTAAATTTTGTTCATCAATGTTTAGTTGTGTGAAAGATTTAGCTTGAAAGAAATGGTTAGTTTTGACCTGATTATAAAAGAAGCTTTGACATTCATACAATTTAAAACCTATATAAATTATACAAACAAGATTATTTTCCTGGTGGACTTATGAAATTCCTGCTTTTTCCTGGTGAAAATAAATTCCCGACTTTTTCCCGGTTTTCCTGGTTCACTTGCCACCCTGCTATAAGCATTTAATTTACACAAGCGTTGAAAGACGAGTAGTCAACACACAGGCCTCGTAATCTCAACGCCCATGGTTCGGTTCCAGTATGCTCCTTTTTATTATTTTATGTCAACTTTATTTTTCATAAGGCAAACCAGTAAAATTCATACAGATTTCTTGTGACAAAAAATCATAATTGGATCTTATGGAATTCTTACATCCATTTACCTCAGTGTATGCCCAAGAAAGTCGAAAAAATTACCAACCCGTAAAACTAATAAGATCGGACGGGAATCTAACTCAGCTGCCTCCAAGCATGGACTTGCTTTGTAGCTGCGCCTTTACCGACTGAGCTACACGTTTTCACACGTTGAAAAAAAAAATAACCATCATCTCCAATTATTTATGTTCTACCCAATTAACATTTTCAGCTACATAAGCCAACTTCTCCAGCGTTGTGCTGTAAAGTAGCTGAAACAAAGCTGCAGATACAGCTACAAGCAGAAGCTAGCCAAATAGTTTTGGAGAGCGTTTACTCAACTTTTTCACAACCATTATTGAATTTGTCAGTCGCACTGAATAACATAAGCCAATAAACGCTAAAATCACTTCTATGCAAATATTAATCAACTTTCGACTTTTAGCTGCAAAATATATTACTTATTTGATGGCACAACCAACCACTCTTGTTGAATAACATAAACATCAAAAGTGATTTTTCTACAACTAAACAACCTGTACTCAACTAATAACCTGTTTTAGCGCTACTTTGGAAGCTATTTTACAGTCAACTAGGTTTATTTTTAGACGTGTGCGGTTTTACAGCTTTTACTCTGCTTCTTTACAAAGCTGAATTAACTAGTCGAGAAAAGTGATTCATGTGCACTATTATAAAGCCTCTACTCAGCGATCTTTTTGTGCAAGGATCAAAGTGATGGCGTAGCGAAGTTGGTAGTATCAAGGTTCGCCAATGCGGTCGTCTTGGGTTCGATTCCAAGTTCCAGTACAGTGTAAATCATTTGGTGGTGTGCTTATAACTAATTTCGATTAATTCAACTCGCAGTCAAATAAACTTGATAAATTCCTCCACCAAAAAAAAAAAAGCGTAAACAATATTTAACCTGGCGTCAAGAGAAAACTGTGTAGTGATTATTGAATAATCGGGTAAAGGTTGAGTAAGCGCATTTCAAGTTCACACGCAACTAAACAGCAGAATAACAGCTGTATAGAAGCGTAAATTGATATGCAATAAGAGCTTGTCACTACCGTCCCAACAACCAGAAGTAG